CCCTAGTAGAATAAATCAGTTCATAATAAAAAGAATAAAATATGAAATCAAAGTTATGAACATTCAAATATCAAACAATAAATAAAAACCCAAGGAAAAACAAAACCTAATTTAAGGAAATCGAACTCCTTGATCTTCTATTGTTGATAGAACTTCAATTTTGATCTCCAAGAGTGCCCAAAGAGGGCTGCCACCAGCCTCCCAAAACTCTACTTAATTCTGAATTTGGATGGGTATTTATAGGATTTTAGAAACCTTAATTGAAATAGAAGGACTTGGAATAAAAATAGGAAACTGAATTTTAGATGCTGATCGCGTGGTGCTGACACTTCGGATTACGTGTTGACACAAAATAGGAAACAGAATCTGGATGTTTAGCCCATGGGGTCGACACCCCGATAATGTGTCGACACTACACCCGTGTCGGGTTTTTGGCCTCCTTTTGCAATTTCTTCAATGGTAAAATGACAGATCTGGTTCCTGACTTCTGGATTCTGCACAAGTTGATCCTCAAGTCTCTGATCTATTCAATTTACTTCTAAAAAGTAGGATTTCTTCCAATTAAATCTTTTCCTACACAAAGAATGAAAACCATGTAAAATCAAACCAAATCCCATAAAACCCATCCAAATATCAATAATATCAAAGTAAAAATTCTCTATTAATATGTATATAAATTTAGCTCATCAAGCTACCTGAAGACCAGTCCGCTGCAAAAGTGATTAAATGTAGGGCGGCACATTTCACTGTGTTAGATAACCAGTTCTACAAGCAAGCAGCCTCAATGCCCCTATTACGCTGGCTTACTCCTTACGAAGCTGAATACGCCATTAGAGAAATTCACGAGGGAGTATGTGACACGCACATCGGTGGTAGAACTTTAGCTCGGAAACTCCTGAGGCACGGTTATTACTGGCCCACTATGGTCGAGGACGCACAGAACTATGTCAAAAGGTGCCCGACCTGCCAGTTCAATGCCGACGATATTCATATGCCAGGTATCCGAGCTCGTTCTAAAGTTTATGCAAATTTAGTGACTATCTATGAACTGAGCGTAAGTATCTTTGTTAAAACAGGAGAAATGCTCTCATCACTTACGTCTCCTTAGCCCTTTGCTCAATGGGGTGTTGACCTGCTCGACCTTTTCATCAAAGGCAAAGGAGGCTGCATTTTCCTTGTCATTGCAGTGGATTACTTCACTAAGTGGATAGAAGCCAAACCACTGTCTACGACAACAGAAAGAAAAATAGAAGAATTCTTGTTCAATTCAATATTGTGCAGGTATTCTTTGGTGATCGAGGTCATAAATAAAATATATGCAAACGTGATTTGTAGCTCAGCTCGCTCATCTGTGTGCAGGTTCGGCATACCTAAGCGGATTATCGCCGACAATGGGCCACAGTACCGAGCAGCAGCACTGAGATCGTTTTGTAACGACTATGGCATTGAGCTCGCCTTGACATCTGTGTACACTCCACAGTCCAATGGGCAAGCCGAGTCCGCCAATAAAATCATCTTGCGGGGACTCAAGACGCGTGTTTTGGTTGCACATACTAATTGGGTTGACGAGCTCAATAAAGTGCTGTGGTCATGTCGTACTACACCCAGCTCGGCCACAGGCGAAACCCCGTTCAGTCTGGCATACGGAGCTGAGGTTGTTATCCCCGTCGAGATTGGATTGCCATCCGATAGATCAAATCGTCATGATGATCAGAATAATGAACAGCTCTTAAGAGAAAACCTAGACCTTGTGGAAGAAATCAGGGAGATGTCCCGAATAAGAAACATGGCACATCAAAGTCGTGTTGCAAAATTTTACAATAAAAGAGTTCGAGCTCGCCAGTTTCAAGTCGGCGATCTAGTCCTACGTAAAGCTGGGTTAACTAACACCCATTTGCACATGGGCAAGCTCGCTCCTAATTGGGAAGGCCCCTATATGGTTGTTCAAGTTAAACGACCTGGTTCTTCCATGTTAGCAGATATGCAGGGACGTCAGTTGCCTTACATTTGGAACGTACAGAATCTTAGAAAATTTTACAATTAATCTGTATACTATTCTTTTATTCCAGTTGTTATTCGACAATTGTAAACAATGATACATCGAAAATACAACAAAATTCAAAGGAAAACTCATTTTTGTATTTCATCAAAGATGTTTACATTGAAGGTACACATGATATGAATCCATTGATCAAATACAAAAATGTAAAAGCAAAGTACAAAAAATCAAAAGAATAAAAACCCTAAATCTAGTCATCCTTCAGATCGACGGGCATGGATACGTCAGCAGCAGCTGCAGGAGAGCGAGCTGGAGGAGACCGGGCTGCGGGCTCAGAGGCTGGCGCGCTGACAGGTGAGCAGGCTGGCACCACAGCAGGCTGAGAGTTGGGCGGGGTGCTTGAAGGCTCCTGCTCAGCTACAGGAGCACCTTCTACCCATGCATCAAATAAGGGCAGTCCTGCTGGATCCTCCCCGTCCTCCAGCACGGACGGTGGCCAGATGGGCATGCTCTCCTCGTTTAAATCCCATCTCAGCCTCACAGTTGTGTCAGCGAGGGGAGCAAGGCTCTTACCCTGCTCGTCAAGCTCCTCCTCGTCAAAGAAGACCAGCTCGCGGATTGGAAAATCTGGGTGGTGGTGCAGCACCTTCCCATGAATCTCGTTGTAGATCTCCGTGGTCATGTTAGCAGACGCCACCGCCACTGCGTCTTGGAATGTTGACGAGCCAACCAGCCATTCTGCCCCTTGAGCTCGGGCAATACCGACGGAGCGCGCATGAGATGCCTTCAATGCGTTCAGCGCCTCTTTGGTAGCGTTGAGGTTCTTGTCAGCCTCAGCGACCTGAAACCGTAGGGAACCCAGCACGGTCTGAGCACGATCTCTCTCGTCCTCAGCCCTCTTAGCCCGCTCTTCAGCCCGAGCGGCCTCATCCTTTGCGGCTTGAATCCCGCTTTCTTTCTCGGCACGACCTCGCTCTAGCTCCTCCTTGAGCTCATTGATCCTATTGGCAAGCTCGTCCGCCCGGCTCTCTGCAGCCGCAGCTCGGTTCGCCATTTCAGAGCCTTGCAGACGATTCACATCGTCCACAAGGCTAGCCTTCTCCGCGGCCAGCTGTTTGCACTTTGAACCGAGCTCGGTGTTCTCTGTATGAGCCGCTTGCTCGCTCTCGTACAGCGCTACTGAGTAGCTGAACGCCTGCCAAACAGTGGTCACCGTTAGTCTCTAAAAAGAAAAAGCAAAATATTTAAGCAGGTACGAGCAGATACTTACATCCATCAGTTTTATCATGGCGACCTGGCCGCCATGCTGTTGCACAAAGGCTTTGGCCCGCTTACTATCTGCGGGGGGCACAAAGCTGTGCATGCCTTGCACCATGGCAGGCTGGCACTCTGCCCGAACATAGCTGAAGCCCTCAGGATAAGCAATCCTGGGGCCGGACATCGAGGCCGATGCAGAGGCGGGCTCCACTGCTGCCCGCACAGTCACTGACGGTGCGTTCGGTGAACACACGGTTGCAGGACGGGCCGCCTGTGCGGGCTGAGTCCCCCCGCTTGTTCTGCGCCGAGCAAGGGGGACCTCATCCTCCTCGCTCTCTGTCTCCTCGCGTGCACGTCTGCGTGCACCCGGGGCCGTAGCCTCAGCTCTGTGATCTGCTCGTGGCCTTGACGACGAGATGGATCCCCAGTGTGATGAGCCGCGTGATTGAGGCGCCGGGGGTGGCCGCTCGTCAAACCGTGTCTACCTGGGTTGCGCGTTGCCCGAAGCGCGACCTCGTGAGCCTTGGGCTCGCTGTCGTTGGTGTTCCAAGATGCTGCTCATCTCTCCTGCACAGAAAAACGCATAAGACTCAGCCCGGCTACAATCCCTACCATATGAGAAAAATATACCTTTTGTGAACAGATTTGCCACGTCGACAAACCCGAACACGGCGAGCAGCTCCGGGGTAACCAGGACCTCAAGATCTACTAAGTTTTCACATCTCGCATGCTCTAACAGCCGGTTCTTGAGATCCGTGTCCCGTGGCAACAGCTGGGGATAATTCACATGCGCATTTGGCGTACGCCATTCCGACAGCCGGGCAGCGAGGTCGTTGCTTACCCTTTCTGTTCGCGTGTCGCGAACGAAAATGAACTGCCTTTTCCACCGCGCCACTTTATTCCTCACATTTTTGAAGAGCTGGCTCTTATCCCTCCCAGAGAGGTAGTACCACTTCGCTCCTCTTGAGTTTGGACATAGCCGGCATTGGAACAGCGACCTAAACACTATCGCCTTGGCTGGTACCTCCAGTCTCGCACACAACAGCATAAAGCCCACGATGAACCTTATGCTGTTGGGTGTCAGCTGCGTCAAAGCCAGCTCGTAGTCTGCCAGCAGGTCGAATACCAGCCCGGGCAGGGGAAATCGCAGACCGGCATCAAAATGATCTGCATACACGGGTATCCAGCCCGTCTGCGATACCGAGCAAGCCCTCTCGTTCTGCCCGCCAGTTCGCACCAATATAGTCCTGGGGATGTGGTACTCCCTTATCATCTCCTCCAGCCTCTTGTACCCACTTATTGAGGGCGCGCTGTCCGCTACTTCGTGATGAAGCACCGCCCTGAATCTAAACCTGGCTGGCAGATCCTTTGGAGCTTTGCGTATGTTACTCAGTTTGCCCGGGAGTACCCTATCCTCCCATTCCCCAGCCGCGGGCAGATCCTGTTCGTTACCACCTACGTTCTCCGGCTCTTCCTCATGATTTGACGGACCCCCAAAAGACGAGCTGCTGGACGGTGAAGCGTGGTGGCCGTCGCCATTATCTCCGGTGCTTGAACTGGCGTTGCTCTCTGACGTTATTGTCTCCGGCAAATCCTGCAGCTCCGGTGGTACTATGATCGCAATAGGTTCCGCGGCAATCACCCCCTCTTCTTCCTCCCTACCCTGGTTACCCCGTAGCTCTCTCAATTCCCTAAAAAAATCCATTTTTACCTTTTGAATGATGGTAGACATTGTACAAAGTGATGACCTTATGCTCTGTTCTTCAAAACCCAAATGTCGTGCTGCAGAGAAACTCGTTGAACTTACGCAAGCAATGAAATGAAAATGGAAAAGGGAACGGTTACGAGAGAAACAAAACCAAAATGGCTGTGTTAAACGCCATGCGCGTGTCCCTGATGCGCCAATAGGCGTCTCACACGTGGTAGGCGTTTAACCGTCTTTTGCATAACGTGCGCCGCCTCTGGCTGTCACGTTCCTCAAACGCTGCGCCAGCATTTATGGCGAGGAAGGTAAAGAGATACGGAAGAGCAAACGTATCTCCACAGAGATCTGGTCAGACTCGATTGATTCAAAAATCTCTGAAGATTCAGATCGGCCAGGACTCAGGTCGGACAAACGTATCTCCTCAGAGATTTGGTCAGATCGTCACGCGTTTTATTATAGATCAGGATAGCTGCTCGTCATCACGACCACGTTTACCAGGTCGTCACGAACATGCCAATTCGTTCACAATTATAGATCGTTTGCTAAAATTCCCCAAAAACTCAGCTCATCGCAGATTGACGTGCCCCAAAGTTCAGGTCGCTGCACGGGTTGCAGCTCACGACCGGTCACAGTCCTTTTCGCAGATCAACGGGTACCGGTGGTCGCCCCATTCAACGTCACTACACGTGCGAGTTGATAACGCGTAATAATCGGGAATCACAGGCCGTACTGCGGGCGAGATCGCATTGCCTCAGCTCGCTACACGCCCCGTGGCGTTGATGCCAGCACGGACGAGCTCGCTAAAATAGCGAATAACACTGTTGTGGCTATGGATATCAGCTCGCCTTCGCGCTTTCAGGCGCGAGCTCGCCTCTTTTCGTATTACCCTTCAGCTCGGCCATCGCCGAGGTCGGCCGCAAGCTGTTAAAGCTGTCCGTCATAGTCACCAGCTAGAGCGTTGACCCATGGCCACATCCATCCCAGTTCGTCAACCGAACACCGGGGGGGGAGTAATGTTGGAATAGGCCCAACAGGCCCAACACCCAAACAGGGCTGTGCATAACGGGCCTAGGTTACCACCCATTAGCCCAAGCTGAAGGAGCATCAATACAAGCATACCCATGTGACCAGCGCCACGTGGGCCAAGGGGGTGCTCACACGTGCAGATGTATCTCAGCACCAAGGGGCTATAAATATCCCCCAACTACCTCCGATGAAGGTAATTAATCTCTACGCTTCTCTCTCTGCAATTACTCCTTGAGAGCATCTCTTTCTAGAGCTCCGAGTATTGCTGACTTGAGCGTTGGAGTGTTTTCCCCGAGGAAATAACCTCGGGATTTTCAAGTGTGGAAGCAGTTGAAGACTTCAACAATGTTGGACTGTGAAGCTGCCCAAATAGAAACAAATTTAATTATCTTCTTTTACAAAAATTTTTGATTTTTGATTTTTATAAATGAAGCGATAGTTCTAACAATCCACATTCACAATGATTTAACGTGATTCTATTGTGCAGTTATTTGGTAAGTGAATTGGGTTTTATTGGGTGTTGAAAAAGGTTGCGTATTTGTGGATAGAGAGAGGAGCTGCAGGGGTCTTTGTGAACTGTGATGTATTGTGGGGAGAGGAGAGGCAATGGAGTTGTGGAAAACCAGGCTAGGGAATGGAGGACTTTAGGCAGAAACGGATTGGTGGGTTTCCGGGTAGAAGGACATGGGCTTGAGTTTTTTGGATTTGTTTGGGTCATACTGTCATAGAAGACTTATGGTATGGGCCATGGGTTTGGTTTTTGTACTTAAACTAGGCTTTGTTTTTGGATCAGACTTTGACTTGCTAATGTAAATGGGCCTGGTGTTTGGTTAAGTTTGGGTCTTCTACACTTTAGTCCTGCTTTTTCCATGTTGTGCAATTGAGTCTTTTGAATTGGACTCCAATTTTTAAAGTCTATTTTCCCTTGATTCTCCCTTAATCCACCCAAATCGGAGTTGTCACCTTTTTCAAGTGATTATTTCATTTTAAACTTTCAGGTGATTTTGACAGCAAATCTTGTGGTGACTTTAATTAGTTAATTTTAGGCTTTTAATAGGTGCTTAGTTTACCTTTAGTTGATCTTTAATAGAAGTGCTTAGTTTAATAGAACTTTTTATTGGAGTTGTATTTAGACGAAGAGTTTGATGTAATGAATTGTTCGTCCTTGTCTCCTGGTAGTAGGTGGGAAGTTCCATCAATTCAAACTCTTGGACAAACTATTGGCTTGATTGATCTAAAGTTGTGTTGTTGGGATGGAAAAAATCTTTAAATGGATTTTAACTTTTCTTTTTATTAAAGGAAAAAAGTGTGTTTGGTTTAGGAGTGAAGATAAAAGAAATTTTATGCTAGCTTTACTAACTAATCCTTCCTATGACCATTCCTTGTCTATATTAGTGCCTCAAATAGGCATTTAACAACATTTGGTCGTTTGAACAAAAAGCTATGTATATGTACCATTTTGATGGGCAGGACAATCCCATATGCTTTATTATGTAAGATAGTATCAAAACAAAGGAAAAATGACCATGACAATCATTAGAAAAGAAAAAAAAATCATTAAAAGGAAATACAAAAATACACTGGTTAGCTTCCAACAAACTTTTAAGGAACATATATTCTTCCCTTGCATATATCAAGAAATATACACTTTCGAAAGTGTGGCATGTCATCTTGAGAAAAAGGAAAACTAAAGCATTTGGCACACGTAAGGCAATTTGCGTACTTCATTACAGAAATGCCACAATCAATCTCATTGTCATGTCAAAGTTAAACAAAGATTAACACTATAATTATTCAATTAGATCGTAACAATACTAATTAATGGAATAAATTAAAACCAACTAGTGGCATATAATAAAGGTTAATTAGTAAGGTGACTCACTTTTGTTGCATAGGAATATTTGTTGGAACAATGAGGGACCAATTCCTAGCCTTGTTCAAGCCAATTACAGGCAATAAATTATTTTCAAACCAGCTCCTAAATCCTTTTTCAATAATATAAGGTACTTTTGAAGTAGCTTTAAGTGAATTCAACCATACAAATTTCTTATCCTTGATGTCGACATAGAAAAGAGTCCAATGACCACACAAACACAATGGTAAAAACAACTGCAATGACAAGAAAATTAGCAATTTAGCCAATCATATATATATAAATATAAATTCTATAGGGCAATGTAGACAAATTTAGATAATACCTTGCATGTATTGCTTTGTTTCTCAGGAGTGAAACTACTTGGTACACTTGGCTCACGTCCATTAAGCAAAGTAATCTGATTTTTTTTTTTTTTTTTAAGATCAATATGAATTAATGCATTATATTTTTAGGTGGTCATTTGGTATATATTAATATTTTGTGGATGAGTGAACAGTTAAGATTTTGTAAAAGTAACGTATGTAAAAGTTGTGTGTAAATAGATTTTAACTTATTAAAAATTTATCTTTATAAGTTAATTATTGTAATTAATTGAGATTTAAAAGTGAATGATACTTACAACTGTTGAAGAATCCATGTAATCATGTTTCAAGAACATGTTTGAATTTCCTTCAGACCTCCTCTTAAGCAAATCAAAGTACGCATTCATGATCTTTCATAGAGAAAAATGTTATATTGAAGTAGATTAACTAAATCACACATATGTTTAGTTTTAAAACAAACTTGAGAAAATGAAAACAAGGTTATTCTGAATAGCCTTTTACCTCATCCCCAAAATAATACACTTGCGGTATTGCTTGGATAATGGCATCAACTTGAGGGATGATAAGAGGAGTTAAGACTAATTCTTTGACCTTCAATTGTCTATACAAACAAAAGTTGAACTCCTCAATAAGGTTTCAAATTGTAAAGTCATATTGTAGATTATTTTGATGTTAAAACACATACATACGATGTGCTTTTATGATTCTCCAACTTCCCAAAAGTTGTAAATCCTCTTTTGTAAAATCCCAAACTAGGTACTCTCGAACATCCTACATGATGCACCAAATACGCATTACTTTTAGGCAAGTGAACCTAATCGATTATGCAGTATAAGATAAGTAAGATATCGTTCCCTTGAGGACTATCCTACACTACCAAGACACTATTAATCTAACCTAAGTTGAATTAATCAATTAATGGGGAAAACTAAACTATTTAAAAGAAAACTAAGTAAACTAAGGAAATTAAACTAAAGAATTTTCTAAATTAAAGAAACTATGAATGAGAAAGAACTAGGGTTTGGATTTCATTTAATTCTGAATTATGCAACTGTTTCATTAATTTAATTCAAGTTCAAATAATAGTGTTATTGCATGAGATGGCGGATTTCCCTAAATTAATTAACTAGCTTTCTCAAGTCAAGCTAATCCTTCATTTGTTTGCCAAATTAATCATATCTCTATGTAATTTTAAACAAACTAATGAGCATTAAATTCTATGGAAACCTCTAGCTTAAGAAGGGGGAGCTACTAACTCTCTTCTCTTCCTCCACTACCACATGTGAGCTAATTACCTCTCGGTCTCATAGTCTAGTAATTAGCTCACGGTTTATATTATTATTGGTCTAATCTACGCAATTCTTTCTCAAGTTCATGCGTAAATCACTAAATCAATTGAAAGGTGATCAGGCTCTCAATGCATTAAACTCAATAATATAAACTCATCATGCAAATAACCAATATATCTTGAATTAAACTAACAAAAACAGTCACATATTCCAAAAATTAAAATCCATCCATCCCTAGTTCAAAGAAATTTAGCTATGCATGATTATGTTGTCAACAGCAGTCATAATTCGGTAATTCCAGTAGACAATCATGATAAAAAATTCAAATTAAGAATCAACAACACCCGTCCAATGAAGAACAAGCCAAGCTTGTGCTGCTGTCCCTCCCTAACAAAGCTGGTTGAGAAGAACAGAGGCTGTCGGCGGTGTTGGCTCTTTCACGAACAGATTTGGGTGGGCGTTCTCCCTTCTGCTGGTGAACAGATTTTCGGGGCTTCTTCTCCTTGTTCAGATGCGAACTGATTGGGTATTGTGTGTTGGTGTCCTCTTCTTCTGTTGGTGAACAACAGATGCGAGTGGTTGGGATTTTGGGCGGTTGGGTGCGCTTGACCTCTTGTGCAGAACAATTCCATGCGTCTCTGGGGCTCCTCGCATATATATCTCCAGAAATTAGAAACCCTTATTTCTCTTAACCCTAGCAGACATGGGAATTGGGCTTTGTTTTGGGTCTGGACTGCAGTTGGCCCACACCTAGAAAACATAGCCCAATTCTCTTTATTTTTGCACTATGTTCATTGTCAAAACCATCAACTTCAACTTAAATTCTATATTGATACAAAAGGAATTGGGTTGAGCTCATAAAACATCAATTGTAGCTCTACTTCTTAGCTTTCCAACTCCTGAAGAATCAACTCAATCCGATACCTAGAGAAAAAGATATAGTTAAATTACTGCAGCATGTGCAAATTGTCACTTATTGCAAAATTAATTCCTATCTTAATTTCCACCCACAAATAATGAATTTAATATAAACAAAGGTGAAACTAAGTTACAAAGGACCCATAAAATTTAATTCTAGGCTCAAAAAAGGGTAGATAAATGCATATAAAAATTAAACTCATCACTACAATAGATTGATACAAACATGAAAATAATTACATGATGATTTGTCAATGTATGTCATTTGTAAGTACTTCTTAAAAATCTCAATAAAATTAAACAAAGTTTTGTCAACTAAAGTAAATTAGAAAGTAATGGATAAAATCTTTACTGACCACACTCTCAGCTCCTTCATTAACTTTTCATCACTCTTCCCATTGCCTGCAACTGCGCCCCAAGAGTGAACTCTTCAAATGAACATTTTTAATATAAAACACAAGTAATAATATATATTCAGATTTTTGGTCTGTTATTATGGCATATACATATATCATCAGGAGGTTCATTGTATTACTATAGCATATGTTATTATGTAAACAAGATATATTTATATCCTATTTCATCTTATCTAAAAGAAGATATATTTATCAAATCAATCAAATAAGCCAATTAATTACTATAATTAAGAACATAACTATTTAAATTTTGGCTGTTTTTATATTAACTATCACATCAAAAAGAGCAAGACTTACATGCTTTTATTGATGCCAACCAGTCTTAGCAGCATATTATTGCATTTATGATCTTCAAATCTTGATCACTATTGTTGGAAACAATTTTCTTAACCTCTATGATAAATGCAAAATTTGGCATAATGGTTGATAAAGGTATGGCTAAAAAAGTCATGAGCCATCATCCCCAATATTGGAAATCTTGAGCTGTTTTTGTACCACCAATTTAAAATGTTAATTTTCGTTAAGGAGCATTCATCCTCTTCCAAATACTAACAAAGTTTTGGTCAACTTTGTTTGGATACTTTATACTTCCTAAAAGAGTCCAACACTTTATCATCAACATTAGCTAGTGATGAAGAATAAGTATCCCCAATGCCAGTAGTCAATTTTGTGAGAATGCTGCAACTACTAGCATATTTATCATAATGACTTCTAAGAAAATTAGAAATTTTTTCCAAGTGTTCCTTTGCAATAGCATCCTCATAGATTTCCTTGTACACAAACTCCACAAAATCAAGCTTCAAGGATGGGTGAAGAACAATAACAATTGCCAAAATTAGGCTACAAATTCTCCAGTTATTACTACAATCCACATTCATCAAAGTATAACCTATATTGTCTGGATGATTCATCTTCTCATACTTGATAAATGCTTTCTAAAGATATATTTGCAATCATACAATTTATGTCTCTAATGCACTTATCATAACTAAGGTGGAAAATGCCAAAAGGCCAAATTTTCTTGTCATGAACTATCTCAACATTAGGCAAGGAACTGTGGACTGTTAAGGAGCATGTTTTCTCTTTGATATTCCAATCCAAAAGCACTCTCTTAAAAATCTCACACAATGATGCTGCATCAAAATCATGCTCTAATCTTTCAAAAGCAAGAACCTTCTTCTTTAATTCCCAATTGTCATCAATAAACTGCGCTATCAAACAACAATTTACCATCCCTTTAGCTTCATCTTCCACAAATTAATCGTAAGATTAAAGCAACAAGAAAGCTAATCAAAATATCTACAAAGTTTATACTTCTCTTCAATATAGACATCACGTATGTAAGGTTCAAGATCTTTTTCAGATTGAAACTCAAACTCTAGCTGCAACATTTGGAAAAGCTTCTTGAGATGTTCATCATAAATTATACTCAATGGAAGCTTGCACTTAATAATTATCGTTGCCATATCGAAATGAGTTTTGTTTTCATCCAACACATATTTTTCTTTGAAAGCACTTTGAGGTTCTAAATTTTTAGATGGAAGATTTGATGGCTGATGTACATTTTTAATTTTTCTATGACGATTTTCAAAGTGTTTTCTTAGGTATAATGTCCTTTTTTTTGCTTTAACCATTCGTCTTAAAGTCACAATATTTACACTTGGCCCCATAATTCCCCATCTACATCTCCATCCTTCTCATAATGATTCCAAATATCAGATCTCGATATTCTTCGTCTTTTGTTTCCCTATCAATGAATAAGGTGTAATTGAATTCAAGGTCAAAAATTAAATAACAAATCTTGAATTTGGTTAATATACCAATAGAATATAGATATATATTTAAAAACCCTTAATCACAATTGTCTATTAAGGTAAAAGGGGAAAAAGAATATATACAAGGAGCCATAACACCTTTTATCACAATTTCATCTCTATGTGTAACACCCTAAATCCCACATTAGTGGGGAAGTTTAAGTAAATTTGATATATAACTGTGAAGAGTAACCATTACTAGTAACTTGAACTCTAGCTTTCAAGAGTCTATGAACCATGACCTAACGAATTAAGTGATTACCTCACCCCGCATCACTTGAGATGGATCTTGTGCTTATGGCCTAATGGGCCCAATTTTGGTTGTGTTTGGGCTTCGTTTTGATTATGTTTGGACTAAGTGTGGGAATATAAAGCTGTTGTTCTGCCACCATTTTCCAATAAGTGGTAGTGTGGACTCCACATCACTTGAGGTGGATCATGTGTTTGTGGCCTAATGGGCTCAGTTCTGATTGTGTTTGGGCTCAATTCTGATTATGTTTGGGCTAAGTGTGGGAATCTAGAGTTGTTGTTCTACCACCATTTTAAAATGTCAATTTCCATCATGGAGCCTTTCTTATTGACCATCATAATTGATGATAATGTAGACCCCATATCACTTGAGGTAAATCTTGTATTTGTGGGTCAGTGGGTCTAGTTCTGATTATGCATGAGCTTGATTAGAACATCAAGTATTTAAGTGATGGAGATTATAATGTCCTGAATCCCAGATTGGTGGGGAATTATTAATGAGTTTGGTATACAAGTGTGGAGACCAATTATTACTAACAACTTGAGGTTAAGCTTTTAAGGACCTGTGGAACTTGGTCTAAAAAGTTGCTAGCCCAGTGGCGGGCTTCAATTTAGGTTGTTTCAGTTGATAACAAAGTGATAAGCTTTTACAAGTGTTGGCCCATACTGACCATCACGACTAATGGTAGGATAGACCCCATATCACTCGAAATGGAAGTAGGGAAGCACCCCTAATCCTACATTAATGGGGAATTATAAGTCTAGTATTTAAGTGTGGAGACCAACCATTACTAACAATTTGAACTTGAGCTTTAGATATGGACATGGCAATACTATTCCATGAAATAAAAACCACAACCAATGGCATAATTCATTAGTAAGGTGACTCACTTTATGGTAGGCTTAAAGTGTTTTCCAACCAACTCCTAATTTTTTTAAAAAATAATATTAGGCACTTTTGTAGTACCTTTAAGTGAATTCAACCATACAAATTTCTGATCCTTAATATTGACATAGAAAAGAGTCCAATGGTCTGACAAACACAATGGTAGAAACAACTGCAATGATAAGAATATTAGTAGATCATATATTACAAGCATTAGAAGAGAAAAAAAATGATCATTAATTAGAAAATCATCCCATCTACTTTGCTTTGCAGTTTAGTATCAAAACAAAGGGAAAAGACTATTACAAGCATTAGAAGAGAGAAAAAAAAAAAGATCATTGATTAGAAATTCATCCCATTTGTTGTGCCCTACAGGTTGGTATCAAAACAAAGGAAAAAGATCATTAGAAGAGAAAAAAAAAAAAGATCATTAATTAGAAAAAAAGGAACCATACAAAAACACCATAAACTATTTACAAAACTTTCAGGAACATGTAATCTTCAATTGTGTAAATCAAGAAATATACGCTTCTAAAGCAAGATAAGTCCTTTTGAGAAAAGGCAAAACCAATGCGATTGGCATGTGTGAGGCAATCCACATACTTCATTACAAAAATGCCACAATCAATCCCACTGGCATGTCAAAATTAAATAGAAATTAACACTATAATTACCACATAAGATCATAACAATACAAATCCATGGATTAAAAACCAACCAGTGGCATATAATAAAGAATAATTAATTAGTAAGGTGACTCAATTTTATTGCTTAGGAATGTCTATTGGAACCTTGAGAAGCCAATTCGTAGCACTATTTAAGCCCATGGCAGGCAATAAAGTATTTTCAAATCAGCTCCTAATTTGTTTTAAAATAATATTAGGCACTTCTATAGTACCTTTTAAGTGAATTCAACCATACAAATTTGTGATACTTGAGGTCGACATAGAAAAGAGCCAATAGTTTGACAAACACAATGGTAGAAACAGCTGCAATGATGATAATATTAGCATATTATATATATGTGGTTGTATTTATGTATAAGCTTATAGGGCAATACAAATAAAGAGCTAGCTAGAAAACTCAAATATTTAATACCTTGCATGTATTGGTTTGTTTCTCATGAGTGATCCAACTTGGTACAATAGACTTGCCTCTATTAAGCAAGAAACTCTGATTTTTTTTTTATATATATATAAATCAATATGAATTAATACATCATATTTCTAGGTAATTTTTCCAATATATTATAAATCGATATCTTTATAAGTTAATTATTGTATTGATTGAGACTTAAAAGTGAATGATATTTTCCATTGTTGAAGAATCCACATAATCGTGCTTCAAGAACATGTTTGGATTTTCTTTGGACATTCTCTTAAGTAAATCAAAGTATATGTTCATGTCCTTTCAGAGAAAAAAAAAATGTCAAATTAATGTAGATTAACTGAATCAGGCATATGTTTAATTTGGAAACAAACTTGAGAAAATAAAAGCAAGGTTATTCTGAACAACCTTTTACCTCATCCCCAATATAATACATTTGCGGTGTTGCTTGGATAATGGCATTGACTAGAGGGATGACAAGAGGAGTTTTGACCTTCAATTGTCTATACAAACAAAGGTTGAACTCTTCAATAAGGCTTCAAATTGTAAAGTTATATTGTAGTTTATTTTGATGTTAAAAAACATACATACCATGTGCTTCTATGATTCTCTCACAGGTGTAAGCCCATACTGACCATCACAATAGGTGGTAGTGTGGATCCCACATCATCTAAGGTGAATCCTGTGCTTGTGACCTAATGGGCCAAGTTTTGATTATGTTTAGGCTAAGTGTGGGAATCTACAGCCACATCACTTGAGGTGAATCCTATGCTTATGACCTAATGGGCCAAGTTCTGATTGTGTTCAAGCCCAATTCTAATTATGTTTGGGCTAAGTGTGGAAATCTAAAGTCACATCACTTGAGGTGAATCCTATGCTTGTGACCTAATGGGCCAAGTTTTGATTGTGTTTGGGCTTAGTTTTGATTATGTTTCGGCCAAGTGTGGGAATCTAGAGTTGTTGTTCTACCACCATTTTAAAATGTCAATTTCCATCAAGGACCCTTCCTTCTTTTCTAGATACAGATAGTTCTAGCTGACTTAGTTTGGATATTAGATACTTCCCAAAAAAGTCCAATACTTTATCATTAGCATTGACTTGTGAGGAACAACATGTATCACCAATAACAGTAGTGAATTATGTTTGATTGGTGTAATTATATGCATATTTATCATAAACACTCGTAAGAAAATTAGATATCTCATTCAAGTGTTACTTTGCAACAATAGACCTATAAATTCCTTTAAACACAAATTGCACAAATTTAAGCTTCAAGCATGGGAGAAAAATAATAAAAATTGCCAAAATTAAGTTGTAGATTCTCTAATCATTACTGCATTTCACACTCATCAATGTATAACCCTTGTTTTGTAGATGATTCATCTCCTTGTACACTTAATAAATGCTTTGCAAAGATTTATCTGTAGCCATATAATGTATGTCACTAATACACTTATCATAACTAAGGAAGAAAATGCTAGAATGCCAACTTTTGTCATCATGAACTATGCCATCATTTGAGAAGGAATTGTGGATTGCTAGGAAACATGTTTTCTTATTAATGCTCTAATACAAAAACACCTTCTTAAAAACTTCAGACCATGATATTACATAAGTTGTTTTAGTTGGTATCAAAATGGTCACCTCTCGAAGGCGTGGGCCTATGTTGACCATCATAATTGATGATAATGTAGACCCCACATCACTTGAGGTAAATCCTGTGCTTGTGGGTCAGTGGGACTAATTCTAATTATGCATGAGTTTGATTAAAACATCAAGCATTTAAGTGATGGAGATTATAATGTCCTGAATCCTGGATTGGTGAGGAATTATTAGTGAGTCTGGTATACAAGTGTGTGTTGACGACCACTTGAAATTTTTTTGAAAATAAATGAAAAATCAAGTGTGAAAATATAAAAGAAAAGAGGAGTCGTCACTCGCCTAAATTATAAGGTGAGACAAGTCACCTAAAACGAGTCTGCGCAGAGATCGGGGTTCGAGAATTCGGTTAGGAGTGAAGAAAGACATACGTGCACCTCACAATCCTCCGTTTAAATACGGTTGCATACTTTAAAATTGGAGCTTTAATTCAACTTATTTATTATATTTATATTTGAGTCTTAATAAGCAAACTTGAAAAAAAAATAAACTGAATTGAAACATTTTTTTATTTTTGGCCGAAAATAAACAAAATCAAGAACATGCATGCACAATAAACACAAGTAAAAATTAAAAGGGTCTAGTTTGATTAAATTCAAAAAAACATAAAGGATTGATTTGACTAAATTTAAAACATGGAGGACTGATTTGAAAAGAGTTAGACCCTTTTGGACTAAAGTGCTTGAACATGAAAGGATTGTGCGAAATTGAAATAAAAGAGATAACTTTGGATTTTTTTTTACTTTTTAACCTTTTTAGTTTTTTTTTTTATTGGATTGGGTCGGGTTGATCCAACCCAGAAACACAATCCGAACATGAAAATGAACAAGAGAAAATTAAACGTGCAAACAACGTGAGGAAACTAGGGTTCATCTAAAAAAGATTTTGCAGAAAACATGCATTCCATTTCAAACATAGCAAATATTCATTTCATACTAGTAAATCTACTATTCATTTCTCAACAGATACACAGAAATTTCAGCATTTCAATCACTAAACAACACAAAACATCAAAGGAAGAAAGTATAAAATCTACAGCGGAGAATTCAGGAAAGGAACGGATCAAGATCCAAACAGAGGGATCCCACCCACGGGATCAAGCTCTGTTCATCACCTTCACCACCCCTCCCGAATCCTCTCAGTTCCAGCAATTTACCTAAGACAACAGAAACCCGGAAAATGCACAATCTCCTTCGGTGAATTCTGGACGTTCAGCAGTCACCTTTCTCTTGTTGCCACCTCCGACAATACTCAAACTCAGACCCAAAGAATCCCAGAATCAACCAAGAAAAAGAAAAAATCAAATCCCCCCAAAGTCAAACAGCCAAAATCAATCTCTACCCCTTATCAACCAAGAACACCCTCTATTTATACCCACACTTGCAGAAAAACGAGACAAGGAGAACAGACAATCAGAGCAGGTACAAGATCGGGTTGCAAGATTGGGTTGCAAGATTGGGTTGCAGCGGTACAGAGGATCGGGCTGCCACAGGGGCGCAGGCGAGTAATGAGTGCAGGATCGGCTGGCGATTGGTTCAGGGAAGAGGCGGGGTGATGCGTGCAGGGGGTGCAGGAGTGCATGATTGCACGAAATCTGGGCGCAGAGGAGATATCTGGGAGCAGAAGGCACGGTCAAGCGCAGGAGCAAGGCTCGGGTGCAAGGCAGGTAGGGGCGTGGAGTGCTGATGATGGCTCGGGCGTGTAGGGGGCATCATTACCGGCGGTGAGGCGCAGAGGAGAGGCAGCAGAAGCGTGCAAGGAAGGGCTCGGTGCAGGGCAGGGATTGGGCGCAGAGAGCAGGCGCGCAGAGCTGGAGATTGATGCAGAGGAGGGTGGAAGCTGGTTCAGTGCAGAGGGTCTGGACTGAGCCAGGCAGGGCGTAGGCGTGGTAGGGGCATGATGGCCGGCATGTGGCTGCCGGCTGGTTTTGGGGAGGGAAGGAAAATGAGAAGGTCGGGTCAGGAGGAAGAAGGTTCTAGATCCATTTTTTTATTTCCCTTTTCTTTTCTTTTCTTTTTTTAAGTTAAATGGGTTTGGGTTTGAGTAATTTTTGGTTTTGGGATTTTGGGCTTGGGTAGTTGGTAGGCTTTGGATTTTGGTGGGTTTTGGGTAATTGGGTTTGAGTTTGGGTTTTGGTTTGGGTTTGATGGGTATTGAGCTAGACTTTGCATTTCACCCCTCCAACTTTCCATTTCTTCAATTGAGTCCTTTCTCTCATCTTCTTTTCCAATCTTCTTCATAAAATTTCCTTTTTGCCCCCCATTTTATTTTATGAACCTAACAAAGAAAAAACATATTAGTAAAAATAAAAATAAAAATAAAATAAAATTTTACTAAAATTTGAGTTATGACAGTGTGGAGATCAACTACTACTAACAACTTGAACTTAAGCTTTTAAGGGCCTATGGACCTTGGTCTAAAAAGTTATTAGCCCAGTGGCGGGCTTCGTTTCGGGTCGTTTTAGTTGATATCAAAGTGGTCACCTCTTACAAGTATCAGCCCATATTAACCATCGCGACTAATGGTAGTATGGACCCCACATCACTTGAAATGGAAGTAGGGGAGCACCCCCAATCTCACATTAGTGGGGAATTGTAAGTAAGTCTAGGGTATAAGGGTGGAGACCAACCATTACTAATAATTTGAACTTGAGCTTTAGATGTGGATATGATAGTACTAATCCATAGAATAAAAACCACAACCAATGGCATAATTCATTAGTAAGGTGACTCACTTTATAGTAGGCGTAAAGTATTTTCAAACCAACTCCTAGTTTTTTTTAAAAAATAATATTAGGCACTTTTGTAGTACCTTTAAGTGAATTCAACTATACAAATTTTTTATCCTTAATATCAACATAAAAAAGACTCCAATGGTCTGACAAACACAATGGTAAAAACAATTGTAATGATAAGAATATTAGCAGATCATATATATGTAGTTATATTTATTAGTAAGCATATAGGGCAATAAAGATAAAGAGCTAGCTAGAAAACTCATATAATTAATACCTTGCACCTATTGGTTTATTTATAAGGAGTGATCCAACTTGGTACACTAGGCTCGTCTCCATTAAGTAAGAATTTTGATTTTAAAAAGATTAGTAAGAATTAATATATCATCATAAATATAGGTGGTTTTTTCAATAATTGCAAAAAGTGAGTATTAACCTGTATTGTAAAAAATTAGTTAAAAAATATCCTAAAACTATGTCATTTTAATAAAGTTCCATTGAAATACATTGTTTTAATAAGGTTCCATTGAAAATACTAAATTATCTTAATTTTTAAAGCACAAATAAGGTTATTTTAGTCTTTTCTCATAGTACCTATGCCCACCTAGTGTTTGATAGAAATTACGTGATATTAGGGGTGACAGGGTTAGATAATGAAAGGTACATTTAGGAAAGGTCAGTTATATGTTTGAAATTTTAAACTTGACTTTATGTTATTTTTCGAGACCTTGGATTGCCTACTAAAATTTTTTCACAATTGTCCATCCATTGCTTAAGTCTTGGGTTGTTAACAAGTAGAGTAGTTCGTGAGTAACTCATGAGCTACTCAAGTTAAATTCAACTCGAGCTCGATTCATTTGGTACATGAGTTGAGCTTGAGCTTAATGTAAAGTTCAATAAGAAAACCGGCTTGAGCTTGAACTTTTATGATTACTCATGAACTACTCGTGAGTACATTGTTTAAAATTAAAAATTATATTATATATTTATTTATTAAATGTAAATAATATAATAAATTGAAAACTTAATAATGTTGAAAAGGTAACTTAAATTAAATAAGTTACATATTTTGAGTTATAACTATTAATAAAAATATTCAAATGGAGTTTATATTTGTTTTTTATTATTTAACTTAATATGTTTAAACTTTTGGTACTACAATGTTTTTTAAAAATGTAAAAAAAAATTATGGTTAAATAATTAATTATTTAAACATTTTGAAATTATATAAAAAAACTCGAATTCAAGTTAAAGAACTCGTTAGCAAACTTGAACTTGCTCGAATACTTGCAAGTTTGAACACAAGCCCAACTATTTTGAGTTTAATAAATACTTGAACTTGAATTTTTAAGACAAATTCAAGAACGTGTACCTAGGTACTCAATTCAACTCGATTAGTTAACAATCCTACCTAAGTCATGACTAAGCTAACATATTTTTGAGTGAAATGATGTTACTTATTAGTAATTTATAAAGCTAGATATATGACTGCAAGAGAGGGATCTTGCATGCATTTTCTGCAGAAGTTGTCATACTGTTTATATTCTATAATTAGTTATGATATTTCATCTGAAGCTTGGATCATTAAGCTTTTTACAATGTTGAATTTTCAGTATATGATATATTGGAAGCTTGTGGTTGGTTGTGGTTGACTCAGCCACTAAAATAACTAGCTGGCCTTGTGCAATAATCAAAACACAACAGGTCTCTTCCTCTAAGTGACCAAATTAACTACAAGGACTTATCAAACATTTGCAATCCATGATTCAAGTGCAAAAAACATGAGGCATGTGATCTACTCAATTTTTTGAAATAGGTTCAGAGAAACATGTTTAACTTATTATGTATTGATGTTGTTGACATGTTGAGAAAAATTTTATCATGTTACCATTGAAGACATAGTATGTATTCTGCTGTACCTTAGGTTTTTAGTTAATTTTGAATTAAGGGATATGTTGTTTTTGATTCACTTCCTACTTGATATTTTGGAGGATTGTTTGCCTTGTATTATGGAATACCGCAAGTACTCTTATCAATAAAATACCTTCTTTTGCTGGTAAATAAAATGAGCTCAACAGTGATATTTGGTTGCTCGTTTGATTTGTTAATAAACTTATTTGACCTTCATCATCTTTGTTTCTTTGTCATGGATTATTAGTACTCTTTTTTCTCTGCGCTTGAACCAAATCATTACTTTAAAGAGAATAAGAGAACTTTCATTTGAATAACAACTTCACATTATATAGGTCTTAGACAAAAAAAAAAAAAAAAAACCACCATTATATATTCTCTTGAAAAATGAAGATGCACAAAAGTAAAATCATAATTCTCCTCCTCCCTTTTCTGTAGGGAAGAAAAAATGTACAAAGCTATCTCCTCAGCAACATCAACCAACAGCAAGTGATCTTGGAGATTGTCTCGTGTTGTGGTTTGAAGCCAAAGCAACTTGTACAGCTCCCTTGTCCCTTTCACTAATCAATACAGAGAGTTGAAACATGGCCACCCCAAACATAAATTTCTAGAAAGAGTGAGAATCACCAATACACGTAATCAAATGAAATGAAAATTGCTTAAAGGTATTTTATCGAACAATTTGTGTGCATGATTACAAATAGCAATTCTTTCAAAAGATCATCGGTGCAAATATTATCAGTGGATATATAAAACACTGAAATTCAAGTTAATACCCAGTTCTTCCATATGGTCAAGAAACTTGAGAGCGGAATCAAACTTACAAGAGCAAGAAAACATAACAAGAACTAAAAGCCTCATGGCCAACGACACCACATCTTATATGCATAGAACCGCCGGACTTTCTTCTAGGCTATTTAAAGATCTATAATGGAGCATCTAATTTGAGAAGACAGCAACAAAAAAAATGTAAACGTTTTCAGTTTAAGGTTGTAGATGTACCGCTACGTTTTGGGTCGTTAGTAAAAGTTGTTTGGCTGACCTGCATCAAAATGATGAATTGTCACAATTTCAGTGGATAAGAATACTGACGTGGCATCTCTGTTGCATTGACGAATTTCTCGTCCTTTTTGGCATTTTGTATGGCAAAATAGTGGGATATTCCAAACTATCTGAGAGCCAAAAGCAAACCATCAAATCAATATAAGATCATTTCTTTAATTAAACTGATCTACTGAACCTTTGTTTAATTGATTCCACTAATCAATATTAAATTTATTTTTTTCCAAAAAAATTTAAATTCATAAATCTCAAACTCAAAGGAGGCATGAACAAATATTGAACCAATATGTCTTCATCAACCTTAACACCGAAGGTAAGGGGGAAAAGAATTAATGTTTCCATCACAGGTAACCTGCATTCGTATATAGAAAAGTCCAGAAAGATTCCATATCCAAAGCTTGGGCTGTTCTGGTTAAACTGTCAAAGTGGTTGAAGATTATTTTTATCTAAATTTTGATTTTTGATGTGAGATAAAAAAATTGTAAATCTCCTTTTATATAGCTGCATTTTATATGTATTTTTCAAACCTGTAAGGATAGGTCCGAGGTGTCCAACCTCGAACGTACGACAGTAATTCCTTCATAATCAAAGTAAAGGATAAATCCAACATTTCCCGCTTAAACAACTGCACGACAACGACAATAAGCATGCTCGCACCTCATTCCTTATGACAAGCTACACAGCAGTTACAATGGACATGCTCACATCTGAACATCTCTCAATTTCCCGATCCCGAAATAACCGTCTGGAGAGACACGTCAGACTCCGATTATCTTGCTTGGCATGCCACGTGGGTTCCTCACTGAAGCCTATAAATACCCCCCAAGGGCCACGTCAAAAAGGTAATTGAAACCAATCCTAAGCTCCTTTTATCTTTATTCTAAAGGTAGCCTCAATTATTGCTGACTTAAGCATTGGAGTGTCTACCCCGAGTTCCACCTCGGGGCTTTGTAGGTCAATCCAAAGTGCAGACGCGGACTGAAGAATGACTTCTGGTTTGGTGCAATTACATTTGGCGCCGTCTGTGGGAATCTGAACTAAAAGCTCTCTTGTTGTTCTCTCATCATGGTTAACACTCGATCAGTCCGACCTGGAAATCCATCTCAGCCTCTTGGACAAGGTCAAGTCCCCAACAACCTTCCACCTCACCTCCCACCTCATATCCCAAATGTGTTCCCTCCTGTTGATCATGCAGAAGGAGGAGATGAAAACCAACGTCACAAAACTCAGCTCATAACTCAGCTTCCACCGCCAATCCAGACGTAGTTACGACTCAGCTCACTACCATGCAGCAGCAGTTCGGAGTTTTTCAGTTAGTGCTAGCTCAGCTCTTAGCTCGGAATAATCCTGGTGATCCCCTCATCAATTTACTCAACCCTGCTCCACAACCCCTAGCTCCACAGCAAGACCCTCAACAAGTTCAGCATGCTCTTGCTCTTAGTGAATCTCAGGGTCAGTCCCACATAGCACCAGCTCAACAACCTCTACCTGATGATGTTACTCGACGTCTAGGCAGCTTAGAAAAACTGGTAGCTGAACAGCGAGGTGTACCACCTCCACACTATACTGCTGACTCCATACCCCATCCTTTGAACACCAATATCACATTGGAACCCTATTCCGCTGGCTTTAAAATACCTCAGCTTGAGACTTATGATGGGGCGAAAGATCCCGATGATCACCTATATGCTTTCTACTCTTGAATGCAAGCTCAGAATGCCTTTGACGGGTTGATGTGCAAAATCTTTCCCTCTACTCTCCAAGGTAATGCTTGAACCTAGTATTACAACCTACCTTCGAGGTCAATCAGCTCTTATATAGAAATGGCATCTGCTTTTGCCACAAAGTTTTCCAATAGAAGGTTGATCAGGAAAACTACTTCTGAGCTGATGCGAGTTAAACAGAGGGATAGAGAATCTTTGAAGAATTACATGAGCAGATTCAATGATGCAGTGCTGGAAGTCGACTCCTTCGACCAGGCTGTGGGAATTGCAACTGTGATCTCAGGTCCTAACCATGAGAGATTCAGAGATAGTTTCATCAAGCATCCTGCTACAACCTTTAATGAGGTGAATGATAGATCCCTAAAATTCATAACTGCTGAGGAATATGCCTTGTCGTAGAAACCAACCCCCTCTAAGAACCAAAACCCAGACTAGAGAGATGAGAATCAAAGCAGGAAACGGATGAGGACAGCACAGAACCGAGGTCCGATGTCGACCTCCACACTGAGATTCGGAAGGCCGAACTCAGCACCTCCACAACAATCTGCAGGTAAACCTCCAGTTACTCGGACCCCTTTTAATTTGCCGAGGTCACAGATTTTCATGCAGAGTAAGAATAAGATGGACTTAAGGCGTCCTGGCCCAATGAGAACTGTTGCTGCTACCCGAGATCATACTAGATATTGTGATTTTCATCAAGATCACGGTCATACAACAGAGCAATGCAACAGTCTGAAGTCCAAACTGGAAAGTCTAGCTCAGAAAGGAATGTTGAATGAG